TGGTGAGGATGGTGAGGATGGTGATGATGATGGTGAGGATGGTGAGGATGGTGATGATGATGGTGAGGATGGTGGTGGGGACGGTGGGTGGAACACACTCTGGGTCTGACCACCTGTGGTGTTTCTAATATTCTCAGAACACCCTCTGTCCCTGCTAAGGCTGAAAGGCCTACATAATCCCAAGGGAGATGAGGACCCCAGACTTTGGGGGCTTATCATGAACTTTACATTGTTGTGTATTTCCACTCCTGGGCCCCAGACAGGAATCCAAAAATGTGCATGTGTGTGTGTATACATCCATACCCTTCCCTGGTTTTTATGATTTAGTGTCAAGCTGTCACTGACCTGCCAAGCAATTTGGAGCAAAAAGACCAAGGGTGATGCCTTCATGCCCTGTGACCTTCCTTCCCAGACTAAAAATAACTCTGATGGAAAATCTCTCAATGAAACAAGCGGTGCCATTGGGCCCCCAGAGCCCAATCCCCAGGAAGCAGCTGTGCCATTGGGCCTGATATCTCCTCTGGGAGGCAGTCAGAGGCTTCAAGAGCCTCTGATTAAATTCAGTTCAATTCCATGAAATTAAATCCAGTGTCTTCCCTCCCTCCCTGATCTCCCCAACATCTAGCTGAAGCCCCCTAGTGGCCCCTGGAGGAGGTGGGGGAGGGCACAGGGCACCCCAGGCACCCTGCAAGGGTTGAGAGCCTGGTGAGATGAGTCTTGGTCTACCCCGGGACTCACAGTGCTGAACTATATGTGCTGCTGCCAAGGCAGCCGCCCTGGCCTGGACAGGCCTGGGTGCTTACATCAGAGTACACGAATAGCAAGCCCCCAGCTCAACCCCACAGATCACGGGAAGGCCCGCGTGCCACGCAGAGCATGGCATACACCAGTTCTGCTTTCTCTCCCGACACTGCCTCTGCTATCTTTGGAGTCAGCCTTTCGGCAGCTTGCCACATCCACAGCCCCAACAGGGGCTCCAGGCTCAGTTCCTCTCTCTACTACCAACAAAACACCTGATTTTTCCCCAGCTCCTAACCCATTCCAAAGCACTTCCCACATGGACTCAGAACTGTGGAGTCACCAGGGGCCTTGCCGAGTCCAAGTGCAGTGGGGGGAAGCTCTGGCAGGGAGCTTTAGAGACTTTCCCAAGGTCAGGGTAGGGTTGGGACAGAGCCCAGGTTCATGGCTCTCAGTCCACAGTTCGTTCTGCCCCCACGGAGTTTGCAAATCACGACCCATGAAGGCTAGGGCTCCACCGACGTGCCTCAGAGGTGTGGGAAGATGAAGGAGCTGGGGTTCAGCCACCCCTTTATCTCTTGCCAGGTGCTTCCCTTGGATCTGTCTGTGCCTCCCAGGGACAGGGTGGGGGGGGGCCTAAGGATGGGGGATGACAGCCACTGTTCCTGCCTCTCCTGCCTTATCCCTAAAAATCCCACTAGCCTCCTCTTGATCATTTTCCCCAAAAGCCCAAGGAGCCCCCACTACAGCATCTGCTGATTTTGCTGACCAACACGTGCCAGGCACTGAGCTGGGCGGTGTCTCGCCTTCACGCAGAACTTCACGCTTCCCAAAGCAGTTTTACGTTCCCCTTCCCTCCTCCCGGCAGCCCTCTGAGTCATGGGAAGCAAGGACTATTAACCTCTGAGAAAGCGGACACAAGGAAGTCAAGTTGTTTGCCCAACAAGCATTCCAGGAATGGGCTAGAGCTCAGGCCAAGAAACCAAGCGGAGCTCCCTGGCCACGTGCGGGCGGCACCCAAGACCTGCGGGGCTTTCTAAGCACAGACGCCCAGTCTCCAAGGGCGGGACAGCGTGAAGCTGCGTGTTGCAGAAGGTGATGCTAACGAGCACCAACATTTGAGAACCACTGCTCTGAGCCACCCTCAGTGCCAGGTGTCAGGGAGTCTGTGTTGAAGCTGGAGATCGGGAGAAGAAAGGTCAGAACCCGAGATTTTGTTTGGCTGACCTGTTCTGATCCCACCTCTAGGTGCTGAATTTATTCAGTGCCTCCACGGAATAGAAGGTAACTCAATCCCACCTGTCCAAGACTCCTTAGCACATGTTTCTAAGGCTCTGCCAAGGTTATCCTCCATGTGTCTTTTCATCCATTTGAAACTACGGAGTCCAAGTCACACACAGGCAAAATATCTTTGGCGGTCACGCATACACAGTTACGCAGATGAGTCATCCGTAATAAGGCCCCAGGGGGACAATCACTTTCTAGTTCTAGCCTTGGACACATCTGTATCCAGGAGTCAG